TTGTTAATATCGGTACAAAAATGGTAATGGGCCTTCAGTCAGAAGCTTAAAAGAAAGCGAAGGAGTCATTTCCGACCCTATAAATCATATATATTCTTGATCAGCATCTACAGGGCTTTCTTTCTAGCTTTATCCGGCCGAAAAAAAACTTTTTCAGAAATTTCCCATTTTTCGGAAAAAAGGAAAGGGGTTACATCATGAAAATTTGCAAAAATCGGCAAAAATTCACGTTTTAAATGGAGTATGCAGTTTTATTAACCTGCTAAAAATTAGCATACTGCCGCTTTCCGAATTGAAATTAATGCGTTTTTGGCTTAGTTATGAGTTTTTTAAAATTTGATTTGTCGAAAATTTTCAAATAAAAATATTGTTAATATCGGTACAAAAATGGTAATGGGCCTTCAGTCAGAAGCTTAAAAGAAAGTGAAGGAGTCATTTCCGACCCTATAAATCATATATATTCTTGATCAGCATCTACAGGGCTTTCTTTCTAGCTTTATCCGGCCGAAAAAAAACTTTTTCAGAAATTTCCCATTTTTCGGAAAAAAGGAAAGGGGTTACATCATGAAAATTTGCAAAAATCGGCAAAAATTCACGTTTTAAATGGAGTATGCAGTTTTATTAACCTGCTAAAAATTAGCATACTGCCGCTTTCCGAATTGAAATTAATGCATTTTTGGCTTAGTTATGAGATTTTTAAAATTTGATTTGTCGAAAAATTTCAAATAAAAATATTGTTAATATCGGTACAAAAATGGTAATGGGCCTTCAGTCAGAAGCTTAAAAGAAAGTGAAGGAGTCATTTCCGACCCTATAAATCATATATATTCTTGATCAGCATCTACAGGGCTTTCTTTCTAGCTTTATCCGGCCGAAAAAAAACTTTTTCAGAAATTTCCCATTTTTCGGAAAAAAGGAAAGGGGTTACATCATGAAAATTTGCAAAAATCGGCAAAAAATTCACGTTTTAAATGGAGTATGCAGTTTTATTAACCTGCTAAAAATTAGCATACTGCCGCTTTCCGAATTGAAATTAATGCGTTTTTGGCTTAGTTATGAGTTTTTTAAAATTTGATTTGTCGAAAAATTTCAAATAAAAATATTGTTAATATCGGTACAAAAATGGTAATGGGCCTTCAGTCAGAAGCTTAAAAGAAAGTGAAGGAGTCATTTCCGACCCTATAAATCATATATATTCTTGATCAGCATCAACAGGTGAATCTTTTAAGCCATCTCCGGCAGAAATTTCCCATTTAAAAAAAAGGTCTGGCCCGCCCCTCCGCCTCTAAAAGGGGGTGGCGACTGTCACATGGAACAAATCAGCTTCCAAAGTCAGGAAGCTGCAAAAATCAGAAAAAGCTGAAGGATGAGGAGGAGGAGAGGGAGGAGGTCCAAAGGCAGGATGCGCCGTCTACTGACGATGGCGGTAATTACAAGATAAAAAACTATTTAAGTGGTTAGCCAAAACGGATTTTGGGCGCCAAAAAATAATAATAAAGGGTTAAGAAAAAATGGTTGAAAATTTGAAATAAAGTCACATGTTTAATGGTTAAAGTGCAATTAAGAGAATTATTTATAAATTAAATGCTAAGTTCTTAGAACTACAGTTAGATTTAAAGAGTTTGTGGAGGAATATGTAGGAATTCAATAATTATAAATAAGTATTTAATATAATATATAAATGATAAATTAATATATAAAATTTTCCCAAATAAAATATTAATTTTTAAGTTATACTGATATTTAAATTAATATTTGTCTGACGCTACATGCTTGAAACTAATAAATTATATTTTAATTAAAAGGAACAATGCAGTTGTTAGTTTTTTACATCATCGTCATCAGCACAAAATAACTTATTTAAAATTCACGTGTAACTAGACGGGTTAAAGGACGGACTAAGTGGACAAAAGGGTTAATGCGGACGGACCGGCCTTTAAATCTTGTAAACAAACATCTAAAACTAGTTTTTAGGTAAGAAAAGGATGTGAAATTCCCCGCACATGGTAAAGAAAATATTTAAATATTATATTTCAATAAAAAAACCGAATATAATCAATTATACTAGAAATAATAATAAATATAGTAATATAAGGTCTTAAATATTTAATTATATTCATTAAGTTTTGCCAGCAGTTAGTTTTTCTTTTTTAGAATTTACAAATAGCCCAATTGCCGAAATAAAAGGTAAACAAAGGCAGCAGCACTCCAAGTGTCAAAAATGAGAACCACAAGAGTGGACTGTATTCTCTCCAAGTCCCTCTCCCGCTCTTAGGTTCCACCCAGTGTTGCCAGGTGTTGAGCGCCCGTATAAGCTAGATTTAAAAAAAAAATAAGCTAGAATAAGCTAAACAATTTTTAAAAAATGCTAAAAAAAACAAGCTACACCCAAATTAGAGAAAACACGAAACATTATTATTTTTTATATGGATGGCAACAATCATTGGGGGCTATATTTATGATAAGGTCTTTAAACTTAAATTTTAATTCACAATTTATTGTTAATGGACCGATAATTTATTGAATATGTTAAAATTAAAATTAAATTTAGTTGTGCACAACCGCGACAAATGGTCCACTGGCAATATTGCCGAGTGTTCGGCAATGAACAAACAAAGCGCTGCTTCCTGATCCTGAGTCTTGCAACACTTAGCCGGAAAATTTATTTTTTGCGATTCAGCAACTGATCCCATTGAAAGTGTGCTTTTTCGATGCCGCATGCTGCCAGATTTCAAAGATTTTGGCTGATATTGTCGACTTACAGTAGCAACAATATGCTTTGGTTCCTTCTTTTACACTGTGTAACCACGCCTTGAATTCGTTCTTTTGGCGCAAGGCATCCCGAAAAATCTGTTTGTATATAACTTTCGGCATTTTGAGCACACGTTTTACTTATTTCACAACACAACAAAATTATTGGTGGTAACACTTGAGCCAACAAATCGATCTCCGATGACACTTTCGATTAGAAATAAGTTCATGATCACATGAAATGCACATAACCATCGGCAAAAAAAGAACAAACTCCGATATTTTCATGCCATAAAGCATATTTTTGTACAAAACATATCGTGGATGTCAAAAATACATATAAAGCTAAGATATGCTAGGTGACTTTTAAAATAAGCTATATTTCAAGCTATAAGCTAGATGGACATTTTTCAAGCTTTTCTAGTTTCAAATATGCTAGAACTAGCTTATAATAAGCTAACCTGGCAACACTGGTTCCACCTACCAGATCGAGAGAGAGAGAGAGCAGACAAAGTCAGTTACGGTACTTCCTAACGGCCATTTCTACGGAGTATTCACGGAAGTGTTGCAAGCTTAGATATTTTTTCTGGCTACATCTAGCAATAACCACAGACGACATGAAATTAACTATTTTCCCACTAGATTTAGCGCATTCCAATTGCCTAATTATGCATTCTTCAAATGTAATCTGGCGCAATTTTGGCGTGCCCAACACTACTTCTAATAATGAACTTAGTGCTGTTAACTTTAACTAGCACTAGCACTAGCTTTTTGTGCTTAGCTTTTTTTTAGCTTATTTGGGCTCAAAGTCAAGCTAAAACGTCGATAAGCTGACAGCACTGACTAAGGGATAGGTGAAACGAATAAATTCCGCGCGCAAATGCACAGAAAAGGAGGGCTCAAAAGGAATAAGAAAATATGTTTGGCTCACTCACTCGCATTGAATTATGTGCAGCTGCAGCTCCCAACGGCGAATTAGAAAACGAAAACGGACGCAAAAAGACGAAATTAAGCCTTCTTATTGAAGGCATTGAAAACGCGAATACAATTACTTTGCCTGCTTGGATTTCCACTTGCACATAAACAAAAACAACAAAATTAACTAGCCAAGAAAAGCGCACTGATCTTGGCTATGTATATATGCAATTACATATATAAATACTTACATATTAACATGTAATTACATATATATGTACTTACATATATATTTACAGGCATTAAGTAATTAAAAAACACACATACGATCGCGCACCGGGCTGCCCCCGCTTTTCAAACACTTTTCACTGCGGGGGCTCACTGATTTTTCGCATTTTCGACTGATTTTTCCGCGGTACTTTTCCGTTTGCTTTTACCGTTGACCGACGCGGCGATCTCCTGCACGGAGATTTTTTCGTTTTCGGTTATTTTTTCCTTCCACTCCGACCGGCGTCGTGGGAGTAACTGATTTTGCACGGCCATCGGGAGAGCTCTCTCTGTCATATTGGAAGGAGTCGATGCTTCGGCTTATTGGAAAGCGGCGCCAGAGAGTGAGAGAGATCAGGTGGCCATTTCCAAAGCACTTCCTGGATCAACTTAGACTCAAACCATGGTTGCGAGATCCAATTAGTTTATCTTTATCTAATTGGGTTGCTGTCCTAATTAACCTAAAACGAAACAATAAATAATAAATGGGTTTACAATAAGTTAGTTTAAAAGAAGCTAATTTGGATTAGAACAAATATCAAGGCTATTTATGCCTTTGCAAGAGTATTATAATTTTAATTAAAAGCTTGTAAGGTTGTGAAGGAGTTATTTCCGACCCTATAAATCATATGCCAGTTTTATTAACCTGCTAAAAATTAGCATACTACCGCTTTCCGAATTGAAATTAATGCTTTTTTGTCTTAGTTATGATATTTTTAAAATTTGATTTGTCGAAAAATTGCATATAAAAATATTGTTAATATCGGTTCAAAAATGGTAAGAAGCTTCAAAGAAAGTGAAGGAAGGAGTCATTTCCGACCCTATATATATTATGTATTTTTCTACCTATATTTTAAAGAATAACATTTTTTTATATTGTTAAAATTATTGAAAAAAACGAAAGGGGTTACATCGTTCAAAATTGTTAAAAATTGGCCAAAAATCAAAAATATAGATTTGAATTTGCATACAAAGACTAGCACGAGCCAAGTTATGATCGGAAAACCATTTACATTGTTGCCAAAAGAAATGAAACCTATGTACCCCTTGTTGTATTTGGTAGCAGTTTTTATTTAAAATTTGTATGTATAACAATATATATAGCATATAGTATATACAACGTGATTCTTCATAAAATTAGGTACTAGAGTTTCATATATAATTATAGCTATTAAGTACTATGTATAACTCTGGCTCTCTTCCTCCTTCGTCGTTCCTCCGTTTTCCAAACCTTTGGAATAAATTAAAGGACTAAAATGTACACATAATGAAACAAACAAGATGATCCAAAAGTAATTATCTCGCGTGGAGGGAGATAGTGTGCGCTGGAGAGATTGTAGAGTGGAGAGGGATATACGAGAAGACGACGGGATGGGTCTATGCAACATAAATATGTGGACAAGAAATAGATAACATGACATAAATGGGGGGGGGTATAAATAATCGGAAATGGGCGGAGCTGGGCGTGGTTGGCCCCTTAGGCGAGGCGTTTCTTTCGACTCGGCGACAGGATCTTCAGCATTGTGACGACGGGCGCCTCGAAGGACATGGACACCACAAAGGACAGGAAGTAGGACGCCACCGTTAGACCGAAGAACATGACAACCTGCAAAGAAATCCCATTAATATCTAACCATGATTTCAGATCCTAATCCCCACAAGAACTCACCATTAGATCACCGCCCAGATGCAGCGGTGCATCCGAATTCAATGCCATGGAACGGATGACAATGGGATGCACCAGGTAAGCACAGTAGGTGACGCGGGAGAAGGGATACAGGCAGGGCGCCGAGAGCAGCGAGTTGATATAGCCGCCATAGCCCGTGGAGCAGGCGATGGTGATCCAGGCCAGCGACAGGGCCCAGGCCGAGTGGCTGAGCGAGCTGTAGGCGGCGGCCGTGAATTGTGACAAATCCGCCCGATACAGGCCAAAGACCAGCACAAAGAGATTCAACATGGCCAGGAACCAGGCACTGGCCACCGTAACCTTAGGCAACCGGATTTTGCAGTTCGTCCGGAACAGTATCCAGCCGACGGCCATGCCAATCAAATAGGGTCCAAGTCGTGTCCAGGGCTTGTCATAGATCTTATCGAACAATGCCAGCGGATCATCCGTATTGGGTCGATGGTTATTGGTGAATGCAATCACAGCGGTGGTGATCCACGACAGAACCAGGAACACCAGTGTGGTAATGGCCGATAGCTTGAAATGACGGACGCCGACAATCAGGATAATGGCACCAATCATATAGAATTGGGTATCATTGGCCAGGTACCAGCTCCAGAGCATGCACTGGAAGGAAGACAGGATTGTAGTATACATTTATCTTCTTATATATGAAATGTAATCTCTTACCATCTCATCCACTGGGAAAAGCGTATTGATATACAGAATATTCCGCCACCAATAGTCCGGGCAGGTGATATGATCCATAGTCGGTGGATCAAAGATCGAATATGTGGCCAGATACTTCATGGTGACCTGAACCACGCCCAGAACAAACAGATACGGAGCCGTGAGTCGCATAAATCTATAGGCCACCAGACCCAGAAAGTGTGCTGTTCCCGCGGTAAACTCATTGGCTCCCTTGCTCAGCTTATTCAGCTTTCCCTTGGCATTCGTCCGGAAGTAAATGTACGAGATGAGGAAACCGCTGATGAAGAAGAACGTGTCCACACTGAACGGGCCATTGGTGATGGCCTGGAAGAAGAAATTCTGCTCCACCTCCTTGCGCATCTCCATGTTATCCGAGTACTTGAAGACCACGATGCATGTGTGACCCAGGATCACCCAGGCCATGCTGAATGCTCGGAGTCCATGGATGCAGGGTATGGTATCGGCACCCACATTCCTATCGCAGATGGCATTAAAGTTCGTGATGGCCGAGAAGGAGAGCAGGAGTTCCGAGTAGATGCTCAGCTTCTCCGGCTCGTGCAGATGTCCCTCCAGATGTTCATCCGAGGTGCTGGTATCGTTGTTGCCCCTGACACCACCGCCGCCGCCGCCGCTGCGATGATGATGATGATGATGATGATGGTCATGGTGATGCTCATGCTCGGGATCATCCACATGGTGGCCATTGCCACTGTCATTGTCATTGGGCGGTAGATTGAGCACCAGCTGGTCCAGTTGCTTCAGGGAATTGCTCGACTCGGAATGGGCATGGCCATGATCATGACTGCGGGTCGATTGCTTCAGCGGGTCATCATGGGCGGTCATGGTGTCACTGTAGTCGGAGGAGGCACATCCAATCCCCGAGCTCGTTTCGCTATTATTCATCATCTCCTTGTCCTGGCGACGCAGTGCCTCCTTGAGCTTGCCGCGCAGATAAATCTCGTACAGGGTTCCACAGCAAATCAAAGCCATTACAATGCAAGAGACAACACTGAAAAGGGAGATAAAATATTACTTTTAATTTAGAATTTAGAATAAATATTATGTACTAGATTTGTATACCCTTGCAAGGTATTTTAAGCAATTATTTTATAAATAAAAGCTTAAAAACAACACAAAACTGCTTTCATTGTCTCATTAAATGTTCATATAACTTTAGAGATTGGCTAAAAAAGGGTTTCAAATGTATAACTGAAAAGGAAAACATAAAAAGCTTCACTCAAAAACTATTTAAAATTAACAATACAGAAATTACTTTATTCCCCTGAAAAACTCTTCCTGCTAATTTATAATATTTGCCATTAAAAAACCTTAACTTACTTTCCTTCACTTTGTGAAAATGCCATAAAAGATTAAGCATAAAAACGTTGGTTTCTGTGTAAAAAAGTGTATGGGTTATATAGGGAAATATATAATGAGATTGCCCTGCTAATCAACACAGTAAACAAGGGGAGTTTCGCTTTTTACCATATAATTCGATTTCACATACACAAAAAAAACCCGCTAATGGCCAAAACCAACTGGGCAAAACAAAAAAAAAACCAAGAGAAGAGGCTTTCGGCCATTTGGTTAGCGCTCTCGGAGATTTGGGCCTGGCCCGAGTAACCACATCCATTACTCACATCAACAGGCAAAAGGTCTTGTCCGCCCAAATGTTAAACTCCTTGTCGGTGGGCACACGTATGTCCAGGACACGGAGATCCCGCGACGGCAGCTCCACATGGGCCCGGGCACCCATCTCGCCGATGTCCGCAATGGAGCAGCTGGAGGGCAGGCACATGCCCACATAAATGGTGCGCAGCTGCAGGAGAGGATTACGATTACGATTAGGAGAGGGATTTCAGGAGCTCCTTGGTTGTTGCACTTACCACTTGGGTGGGCAGCGTCTCATTCAGCTGCATCTTGATCACAAAGAATCCGGGGACAAAGGGTGGCGGTGCATTGTAGACACTGCTATAGGCCTGGGTATGAGCGGCGGCAAAGGGCAGGCCACTGGGAGCCGTGGCATCGGAGGCATTGTTACCGTCCTTGCCGGGAGCAGGAGTCGAGCCATCATCGATCGCATCGCAGAGGGCCAGTGAACCCATCCAATAGTTGTTGCCGTAAAAGAAACCGGATGTATAGTGACCGGAAGCATCGTCCACTGTGTCCACAGGTAAAAGGTAAAGGAGAAGGAGAAGGAGAAGGGCATCAGTAACATTCGAAAAAAAGTTAAGTGTGAATGGAGTAAAGGCAATAACAAGTGTGAACATTGCATATATGCAATGTCATATATGAAAAAAAAAACCATATAAATAAAAACCTGGGAATTATGCAATTATGCAGCTCAAACTGCAGGCTTTCAAAATATTTAAAAGGTGAACTGAGGGATGCCCTTTTAGGTTATACTATTTAAAATATTAATTTCCTAAGAAAATAAGCTTTAAAAATTGAGTTTTTTAAATTGAAATCTAAGAGATACTTGTTGCTTATTACATATTTATTAGCTAAATAAGATTTCTTAGATATTTAGGGTATATTACATTGACATAAATACATATAATATGTTTAGAAATAAAATACTAATAAAGATACCTTACAAAAATAGGATAAAATTATATTTACCATAAAGGTAAAGCCTTATGCAACTGTAATCTATATTTTGGAAAATCTTAACCTAGTTTTTGCTCAAAAATCCTTAGTAATCAAACCTCTCATATATGTTACTTATATTTTTCAGTTGAATCATAATCAATATATATCTTTAATAACCCAAATTTTAAGGCGAAACAGTAACCCTTGAGCTGTGTAACTCTTTTGTGATTTATTTGCACAAAGTTGAGGTTGTTATTTTTTGCTATTTTCGCTTTCAGCTTTTCGTTTTTCTTGTAACCAGTTGCCACAGAGAGGGAACCGAAAATTGAAACTGGGACTGGGACTGGGACTGTGTGTCTGACAACCAGTTTTTATCGCTTTTTGCATTTTGTTTTTATTTTTTAGTTTTTAAATTTGTTTTGTTTGTAACCGAAGTCATGCAACAGCCTTTTGTTGCGGAGGAAAAAAGCTGAAAGCGCTCTTACATGAGCATCCAGCATCCACTTCCTCAACCCCGAAGCCTTGACCAAGCAGGAACTATCCGGTAATATCTCTCTCTATCTCTCTCTCTGTCTCTCTCTCTCTCTCTCTTTGGGGGTTACATAAGACCCGACCATGACCATGAGCAGATCAGAGGCTGTTACCTGGCTGGAGATGAGACTGGAGTGGGGCATAAAACGGAAATGTTTGCCAACATATTTGCATGTACTTGACTCAGAAGTGTTTGCCAATTAAATACCATTCGCTGTCGATCGACGTATATAATTAATTTACCAAAATTAAAGGCATACAACAATATTAGGAGGTGTACACATAAACATAAAAAGATAAAGATGCAATCGGAATTTATCGAAAAGATTGCATATAAGTATATAAAGAATTTTCAAATAAATAGAGGTGGGAATATTTTAATAATAAAATATCTATATATATATTCCCAATATAACATAACAAATTTCATTAAGCCAAAGTTTATCTATCCTTTAAGTTAGCAATTCAGTTATAGAAACGTATCAAACTTCGATCATTACTCAGAATAAAATATTTGGATTCCTTGGATCCATATTTTTTCACATTTTTAATATGACCATTTTTTCAAAATCATCAAAGTTTAAAAATTTCATAACTAAGCCAAAAATGCATTAATTTCAATTCGGAAAGCGACAGTATGTTAATTTTTAGCAGTTTAATAAAACTACATACTCCATTTAAAAAGTGAATTTTTGGCCAAATTTTGTAAATTTTCATGATGTAACCCCTTTCCTTTTTTCCGAAAAATGGGAAATTTCTGAAATTTTTTTTTTCGGCCGGATAAAGCTAGAAAGAAAGCCCTGTAGATGCTGATCAAGAATATATATGATTAATGGGGTCGGAAATGATTGCTTCACTGTCTAAAACTCAAATAACCTCTGCCAGGGTATAAAAATGTAGTTAAATATACATCATATAAATATATTCGACACTTAATTAAATATAATAAAATATATCTAAATTTAGTGCCGCCCTTGATCCTACAACTCTCCCCTTCCCCCTCTTGCCAGCATCTCTGTAATGTTTAAACATGTTTTCAATTTAATTTAGCGATTGAGGTCACTTGATTTGCTTGTAGTTAGCATTTCATCACAAAAAAAAGAAACCAAATGAAAAAAGAAACCCTCCTCCTCCGTCCCAAATGTACACACACGGCCATAAGTATAAGCGTTCATATGTACTTCTTCTCTTCTCGCTGCCGAAATCCAATTGAACGTGTCATTCAAGCGTTTAACGCTCTTTCGGTAAATGGAATCGGACTCTGAAGCCAAGTCGATGCCGAACAAGATCAACAGATGGGCCAGGCCAAGTCGGACCCGAGCTAGACAATGAGCTTACCAAGGTGACAGCCTGGCCAAGTTCACCCTATCCCCTGCTACCTGGCCAGATGAACTTGGTAACGGCTGCCGATGAAAGCCAACTTAAAGCAGATTTTATCAGGCATTCTTGTCGCTCCGGAAGGTCGTTCGTTTATTCGTTCGCTTATTCGACATGTGATCGAGTAATGAATATATGGGTCGAACTACATGTTGAGAGGGGAAAGCGAGTGAGTCAAGTGAGTCAAGAAATCAAGAGTCGATGGACTGTAATTACCTCAGCAGATTCTTTAACAATAAGAGAAGCAGGGAAATAATTTACCAGGATTTACCAGTATGTTCTGAATACTAGGTATATATTGAAAATTTAAATATAAAAAAATATCTTGTTTACGGGAAAAATATGACAATTTATATACCTTTTGATTTGTCGAAAAATTTCATATAAAATATTGTTAATATCGGTACAAAAATGGTAATGGGCCTTCAGTCAGAAGCTTAAAATAAAGTGAAGGAGTCATTTCCGACCCTATAAATCATATATATTCTTGATCAGCATCTACAGGGCTTTCTTTCTAGCTTTATCCGGCCGAAAAAAAACTTTTTCTGAAATTTCCCATTTTTCGGAAAAAAGGAAAGGGGTTACATCATGAAAATCTGCAAAAATCGGCAAAAATTCACGTTTTAAATGGAGTATGCAGTTTTATTAACCTGCTAAAAATTTGCATACTGCCGCTTTCCGAATTGAAATTAATGCGTTTTTGGCTTAGTTATGAGATTTTTAAAATTTGATTTGTCGAAAAATTTCAAATAAAAATATTGTTAATATAATTTTAGCTAAGTTATGAGTTTTTTAAACTTTGATTTTTCGTAAAAATTGTGATATAAAAATCTGAATAGGAGGAATAGTATTAGGAGGACTTCCTACAAATAAAACTTTTATCTGAACCTAATGCCTGATTTCCCAAGATTTCCCAAGTTCTTAAGCTCAAAAGACATTTTAATTTATTTTTTTCATGAGAAGAAAGAAATCCTATCCCATTTATATAGTAACTTTTATTGCAAATAATTACAACTACAAAAGACCACACATGAAACTGAAGCAAGACATTGACTTAATGTTGTTTCATAAAGCCTCCAGCCAAAAATGGTGACAAAAACAGAGGCTAAGGCCTATTGTTTCCATCATATTTCCCTCAGAAATAATATATCTCTCGTCCAAGATCAACCTGTGCCCCGTCCATCGGCTGCTGTGCACTTGAAAACGCGAGCCAAATATTTGCAAGAAGATTATAAGTTTTATGTATTTATATAGTTTATTCCAACCGAAGGTAAGGACAGACCAGACCCTCGTGATATAAAAAGCAAAGTCGGGCGGGGTAAGGTAAGGTAAGCAAATGTGTTAACACATATGCACAAAGCTATATGTTAGCCCGATCCGATGTCAGTCGGCCATAAACCATAATGAGTGGCAAAAACAATGAGGGAGGGGCTCTCCGAAATGACACTCGGGGATTTGGGGAAGACGGTGACACGGCTGTTGAAATCCATTTGATTGATGAAACGATTGTATAAATATAATGGCAATAAATAATGTGTGTGTGAGTGTGTTTCTATATTAAATATTCGCATTTTTTCCGCACCAAATTGCGAAACAAATCAAAGAGACAGCGAAAAACGCGCCCCAACTGTTAACGGTTCAATTATGGCTTAAAAGCCGGGAAGAAAGGGGTAAAAAGGCATTAAAAAATATATAATTAAATTAACTGTGCGTCAACGGATTGTTAAACCATAAATAGGCCTGGCTAATGTACTTGTTTGTTTCTTGATTTATCTCTCAAACACTTTTGGCTTGCAACAGTGTCCAGTAAACAAACTAGTTAAAACTTGGCTTAAACTTGGGCTTGAATTATGCTTGGCCTGCTCTTGGAATGCCTCATAAATTGCCTTGGTTTTCCTTCACATTTTTTGCATATATTTTAAGTTATTTTTCCCTTCCTTTTTTATTTGTTTTGGTAGAGAATTTGCTGCTAATCGATTTGTTTAAGAAGCGTAAAATGCTCACCCATTTCCTAGGGTCGTTTTTGCATTTAAACAATCATCATTTTATATATATATTTTTTTTTTTTTTGGCAATTGCGTATCTAATGTTTGAGTTTGTCATTAGAAGAAGCCCGAAAAAACTAATGTGGGGACATTAGAGGCGTGTGTTGTAGATTCAAGATTCTCGCCCGTGTTTGTCTTGGCCAAATAAATTCCTTGTCAGAAGAGTCTTTGAACTTGGGTGAAGCTGGGCCCCTCTGTGAAGCGTTCTGTGTACTTATTGTTGAGGTGTGTCTATTAGATCACATCAAGAGGATGCTTAAGCTTTGTTATCCCCGAACAACTAGCAACATCAGTTGACTCTTTTTTTATGGCCAAGAAGTAACAAATGTTGGTAAAAAGTAATGGATATAAATTTAATGACAAGAAATTATTATTTATGATTATTGTTCAGATGAAGATCTACAAGTATTCATTACACAAGTTAATAATACAACTTCTACAAAAAAATGTTACTAAAATATAAACTATTTCCTTAATTTTTTAATTAATAATTGCGATTTTTAAACAGTGATTTGTCCCACAAAATTATAACATAAAAAAATCTATTTAAAGTTCCAAGAAGCTGGATATTATAAGTATCTGTGGGTCGAGTGATTACCAAAAGTTATATATATTC